GTAGTTTGTAGCAATATATCCAAATTGTTCCCTTTAGGCCCCGCCCCTCAGCCCCCTGGGAGGTCAGGATCACAAAAATTATACCAGCAGACCTTCCTCCTATTATGTCTATTTCATATATAAACTATACTAAATGTCACCCCCTCCTCAGGGGCAACGAGGGCCATGAGAGACATGAAAATCACAAATTTTATAAAGACCTTTACAGTTATGAGTAGTATTTGATTCTAGCATTTCTAGAACGGGAGAAGAATGTTTTTGAAATTTCCCTCAATCCCCCCCCCCTTTCGGCCCCTAACTCAGCCTCCTAGGGGCTCAGGCTCATAATTTTTACCTGCAGACCCCCTACCCCTAACAAGTATTTCTATCAAATATGAACAACTTCCGTTCAAAACAATGGAAGATATGGCCGATTATGTTTATTTCCTATATAAACTATCTAAACTTCACCCCCTCCCCAGGAACAAACGGGGGTGCTAGCAGACATGAAAATCACAATTTATATAAACCACCCAAAGGCCTTTACAACTATGAGTAGTATTTGATTCTAGCTTTTCTATAACTGGAGAAGGAAGATTTTTTAATCTTTTCTAAATTTCCCACTTTTTGGCCCCTAACTCAGCCCCCTATGGGGCCACACCCTTATTTCATAAAGCTAGTGAGCCCCTGGTCCCAAGGACGCTTCATATCAAATTTAGTTATAATCCAATCAGGCGTTCAGGAAATAAAGGCTTTTAAAGGGAAAAGTTGACGACGGACGACGGACGCTGCGGTACGGCATAAGCTCACTTGCGCTTCGGGCAGGTGAGCTAAAACATTAATAAGAGTTTGCAATGAGATTTTGCAATGAAAATAAAACTTCATATGAGGTCTGCTTTAATGAACTTTTAAAATTTCCTTGAGGAGAAATTTCGAATTTCTAAAAAACATAATCAGAATACAAGGTGATTTGTTTTTATATGTATGTGATTATTGAATCAGACTTAGGGAAGGAAATCATTGCAAAGTTATGCAAAATTCTTAACTTAAGCTGCGGAATGTGAAACCACTAGACAGGTGGAATCCTGTCTATAGCCATGAACTTGGGTTTCACAGTTGCCCATGTTTTTCAACTTCCAGACAATCCATGTAGTGTAGCAGGCATAAATTAAACAAACGTCGTAATTTGCTTATGGAAAAAATCCTGAAATTTATAATTTGGAGATTTGAATAATACATGATCTTGAATTTTCATGATGTAGCATCATAATGAATGATTAAATTATACAAGTGGTTAATTTACTAACAGAATTCAAAACAATATATATATAATCTCAATGTTTGGGTGTAATAATTGTGATTAAAGGATTTTAGGAATAGGAACCTCATGCTTTTGTATGTATACTTTGTCTGGTATCAGAACATATTTCTAAAAGTTAAAAATGTGTAGAAAAGTCAAACAAATTACAACTACCAAATGTAATAGGTACAGTAGATATGTGCATTTGGTTTTTCCACCTCCCTGACACGATATCTTAAATGTGCTTTGTGTGAAAATATCTCGGGTGTTTACTGTTCCTTCGATTGTCCTGTCAGGACTTTCATCCATATAGGAGTTTTGATGTTTGGCTGTCATGTGAAAATGCCCATATTCTATTAATACAAATAATATCTACATTAATTAATTGATATGTATTAATGATGGAAATACCTGTAAGAGAGAGAGAGCAGTGAAAACAATGGAGTGACACAATCCACATATAAGTCAGAATCAGGAACTATGGTATCTTGTAATCTGTGTAATTATTACAACACAGTTCATATACAGTAACATTTGTTTGTGTCGTTTAGGTGTTTAAGAATTCCTGTTTATGTCGGTCGGTCAGTCATGACCGGGAATCTTCCCAGAAAATGTTCTCTCACCAGCTGTACTCTGGAAGGGAGGGGGTATTATTAGTTAATCACAAGATGCATATGGTTTATGGGAAAAAATACTATGGAAGAAAGTGTTATATCTCTGCTGTTTTACCTAGCATCTTAATTCTTCATATGATACAGGTGGTAGTAATATAGCTAGTACTCATGGTCGCACAAGGGAGGCCAAAAAGACGCCATCCTGTGTGAAGGGGATAAAACTAGGCAGATAGTAATCATACATAATTGACCATCACAACTCCCAATGTTCCCAGACTATACTCTTATATATTTTTTCTTGCTTGTTTGTGAACTGTGGTAGTAAATAATGGCATTTGGAAACAAATTCCTTACCAGGGCCCGTATTCATGAAACCGTTCTCATGCTCAAGCATGGATTCTGTGCTCAAACCATCTTTTTCGCAACCCGCTTAGATAATGTCAAACGATCACAAAGACTGTCAAATGTAAACATTGAAAACAGTTTTTGGCTTTAAGTTTCTTCAAAATGTTTCCAAATCATTGACAAAATAAGATTGATTTATTAAGTTATAACAAGAACAAGAAATCAGGCACGAGCACAAAATTCATACTTGCGAATGAGAATGGTTTCATGAATATGGGTTCAATTCCCAACTCAGACATGACTAGATATTGGGTCACCAGCACAGCTAAGCGGGTCTCGGGTGGTCCAGTTTCCTCCCACAATTGGACCCGCTATGCGCTTACCTTCCAGGCCAACAAAAATCATAAATATAAGTAATTTATGTGTCAAAAATTAAGTTTATGTCATATTACTTAATAATACGTCCTAGCCCCCAAACTTTGCCACACCGTTTTAACAATCCCCGCTCCACCGCCAAAAATTGTGACTAAGTATTGGACCCGTTTTTTTCTGTCGCGACTATACTGTGATGGGGAAGGTGTTAGGATTCCATTAGTGACTCTTCACAATTATATCGTTATAGGGGAATTGCTTTGTATTGTTATGATACATTGTATTGATACACCTGGGTTACGAGGTAAGGCAATTATTGATGTAGAATTGTTGTGGTAAAAACAATGAAAGTTTGATGAACGTGGCTGCTCGCTTCAATGGTCTGCTAAATTAACACAACTATACAACATGACAACTCAACTGTATGTCCTGTTTCCTTGTCAAATTGATGATTTTGAATTCTCTCAGAAGTTCCTGGTGTCACCTAGTCACCTGTATCGGGGACAAATCAATAACATACTGTCGTAAATGGGAATAGATGAGTACTACGCACTTTTTCACATCAATAATAGCCAGCCAACAGTGAAAACATCATAAAACTTTCATAATAACAATCCATTTCACCCGAATTGAATGATACATGAAATACAAGTGTGAAGTCTTTATTGTTTAGGAGGTAGTATAGCTACTTTCTCTGTCTGATGATTTTTATGACGGGTTTTCGGTAGTGGATATTATATAGGAAGATTTTGTAGAGTTTTTGGGATTTGTAACATATATGGGGAAAGACACTGGATATTATATAGGGATAATTTTGGTTTCGGGACTTGTATCACCCATAGAAACACTACTGTGATGACTGTCATTGGCAAACCCTGTACGTGCTACCTTTCAAAAGTCGTAAACCGGCACGGTTTCTAGACCCCATAGGACTCTATACCCGAAAATTGTCAATATTGAGATTTTGTTCAAATTCAATGTTCCTGGTCCTAGCTCGGGGTGAGTTCCTATTTCAATGTTAATGAAACTCGGTGTGAAATGCTGTCATTGGCATTCCCTGTACGTGCAACTTTTCAAAACCCGTGCACCGGCACAGTTTAAAGACCTCCTGGGACCCTATACCCGAAAATTGTCAAAATTGAGATTTTGTTCAAATTCAATGTGCCTGGTCCTCGTTTGGGGTGAGTTCCTATTTCAATGTTAATGAAACTCGTTGTGAATGCTGTCATTAGCTCCCCCTGAACGTGAAACTTTCAAAACCTGTGCACCGGCATCTGTTTCACAGCATTTTTCTGGAAAATTTTGAATAACGAATAACTGTCCAACTTTACTTTCGCCACCCGGAAAGTAAAGTTGAACAGCTATTCGTTATTCCGAATAACGACTAACGAATAACTGTTCCATTTTACCTTGCCTGTTCACAGACGAAATGTATTTTGAAATAAAATGTCAGTTTTCACATTCTTGTTTTATGAGTCGGTGGTTATCATGGCTCTCGATATACGATGACACAAATTACCGGTCTGACAACAAAAGGAGTATGCATTTAGGCAGAGGCAGGTAAAGAGAAATTTTGCAAAACATATTCAAAGGGATATACCTATACATATCTTTATAACCAGTTTGATTTACAGTGTTACTTAAGTAAACCCTTATCTAGAGATTACAAAAACTAGGTTATCTGCTCATAATCTTAATATAGAAAAAGGTAGATATCACACTATTAAGCTTAGTCCTAGAGTGTGTACTGTATGTAATTTAAATGATGTTGAAGATGAGTTTCATTTTATGTTGAAATGTGCACGTAATTCGAATTTGCGTGTTAAACTTTTGAAAAAGTACTATGTTAAAAAACAGGTATGTTTAAAATGATAAATCTAATTAATGTAAACAACACAAAAGGACTTTTCAATTAGGCAAAATATATAAAAGCGGCAAATGCAAGAAGAAACCAATTAACTTCATTTGTTACACTCTCCATATTGTTTGTACATTGCTGGTATTGTATTGTATGTATTGCATGTATTGTATTGTATTGTATGTAGATATTGTAAATATATCTCACTTTTGAAACCGATGGGTCAAAAACCCCAAGGTAATAAAGAACTTGATCTTGCCTTAATATTTCGACGGGGTTATTTATATTCAATTATAAACATTTAAGCCCCTCCCCCTCCTCAGACCAAGGTCATGTAATCATCTGCTCCCTTATTAACATATCCGAACTTTCAAGCATCACTATCAGTATATACCCCCTTCCTCCTGTTTATAGAAATTCAGGTTACATATGTAGATATAAATACTTTAAATTGATCATGCGCGATATGTCTAGAGCTCGCTGCACATGCACAACTAATTTATCAGTTTTTAATATTTTACATTTACTTAAGCTCAAAGGATGCAATTCGATTGGCTCTCATCCCTTAAATGATCAGGACAGAGTTTAACCAGAAGGACGACACATGTCTACAGTGAAACATCTTTCTATTGAACAGAAACATTTCTAGCGTTGTCAGACATACTAGGATTATAATTTCCTATATAATTTGTGGACTAATTTGAGGGAATTAGGCACTGACTGTCACCGGACAGTTATTTCGCTGAAGCGCTATGTTTGAAACAAGTATCGCTCCGCCGAGTCTTGTTCCACCACGTTTAGGCTACTTCATACACAGAGTTAACTAAGCTGAAAAGGGTGAGATTTATATAATTTTCTATTGAACAGGAACATTTCTAGCTTTGTCAGACATACTAGGATTATAAATTCCTATATAATATGTGGACTCATGGGATGCATTTTAATACTTGTCTGAGGTAAGTCAGGTTTATATAAGTTAGTCATCATCGCAAAAGGTAACATCATATTTGTGTTTCTGCTATCATCCTCACAAAAAAATAGGATAGATAGGTAGGCATTTTTTAATTTTTTGGATTTTTTTTAACATGATTATATAGAGCAGAAGTTTTGACTTTAAGAGTGAATGCCACTAAATTCCAATAAAATGTTTAGGGTAGGCACACAAATCTAGGGTAGGGTTAGTTAAAACTTGTTTTTTTATATGTCCCAAGTAATTATATATATATATATATATCCTTGTTCTACTAAGGCCGATGCTGTCTAATGGTAATGGGTTTCTTTATTATAACACTGCTAATTGGACTATCGTGCTACTACTATCAAAGCATGCTATACTTTAATAGTCCCAGTGGTAGTTTACATGATTAAGCAGATGAAGATTTTCTTCGTGCCAACAACAACATTAAAATATATATATATATATACATCTAAACAACAACCCGGACAACAAATGTGAGGTTCAAGTATTTCTGAGAATTTGTGGTAAACCAGCCGGAAAAGAGTAATTATATAAATCAGCTAATATTGAAATTGAACCCGTTCGCAACTTTAATTGTTCTTTGTTTGGTTTATTTAGGATAACAAACATGTCGGTTTATTGATGAACTTTACAATTTGATTAAAATATGCACGATCTAGTTTGAAAATATTGAAGATTCTTAACTTTTTTAATCATTATCAGGTAGTAAGTGATAGAAATAACTCTCATACTGATAACTTTATTCGATTTAGTCGTAAAATGTACCTTGTTCTGGCTTGATATTTTCCATGCTCTCGCGCTTTGTTGAAACAAATTCCAAAAGGAATAAGCATTATTTCAGGGTCTCTGAAGTATCTAAAACGGTTACTGAAGAAACAAATTTACTTTATAATAAAAGTTTTCAAACCGTTTTGTCGGTCGACAGCGTGGTACTCTGTTCATGTTTACTTCTCACTGAAAGGGCCGGACATTGCTCTATTGAGTTGTAGCTATATTTATTATCGACTTTCCAATGAGAAAAAAACACACTGAACGTTGGCTTCAAGTCATGTCATTATCAAATACGTAAAGGTTAGTTAGGATTATATATTTTCAGTATCGACTAGGTTTTAATGGAGTTACTTGACTTAATAGCCTCTTTAATCAAATTTATTTTGTTTCCAGTTGAACTGATGCAGTAGTAACACCACGTGAAGAAAAATGGGACGGCTTCTGATATCTTCCTTTTTGTGTTATATACTTGTTGCCACCGTCACGATCGGCTACTTAATTATCTACTCAAATAATTCACGGCAAAAACATTCTATGCATAAGGATTCTAGAAATAGTAAATGGAACCAGGTAGTTCCAAGTCAACTTTCAAACCTGGACACGTACGACAGACGACCTCGTTTAATTCTAGGAATCTTGACACCAGCCACAAATATGAACTACAGGAACGCGCAACGATCAACGTGGCTGTCTACTATGCAACGTTCACAAAGCGAACTTCCATTTAAAATAACTTACAAGTTTCTAATAGACCAACCAACAAAAGAAACTATAGTAGAAAACAATAATTACAACGATATTGTATTTCTTAATGTAACAAGCCATGGACGAGCAACTAAATTTGGAGAGAAATTGTATGTTTGGTTTAAATACATTCATGAACAATATCCTGATGCTTTACTTGGGGCGAAGTTAGATGATGACGTATTTTTATGTGTTCTTCAGATTTTTAAAAGACTTGATCAACTGAAATCGTCAAAATTATACTATGGATGGACACATGGCGCTGGGTCACACGTCAAAATAGAGACACGAGTCGATGAAATGTTTTTAGTTGTTGGTAAAGACTTGTTAGAAAGAATTGCAAAGCGGAGGTATTGTACTGGGACGAAATGCAACACCAGTGAAAATCTAATTGATTTAGATTATGGCGACACATCTTTAGCAACATGGCTCTCGATATACGATGACATAGATTACCGGTCTGACAACAAAAGGATTATACATTTAGGCAGAGGCAGGGAAAGAGAAATTTTGCAAAACATCAAGCCAGGTTTTTGTTCGAAATATATCCTAAACCATAAATCGTCTGTAGAAGTAATGGAAAAACTTCACGAATATAACAAACCCTGAAGTGTATCTCATCGGCGCTATCTATGGATCACTGTTTTCCGGTGAAGTGGTAAAAACACTTCTACCACAATCATTAACATGTAAAAGGATTGGGTTTAGAACACTTACTCGTTGTATATATTTCCGTATTTACGTTTCGTGTAACGGAGTGCGTGTTGTGATCATCAGCTCCATATTGTTTACCTGGGGTATTCCCGTTTGGGATTCCCTTCCGGTATTATATTTGGACGTTTCTGATTGGTTTACATTTTTAGGATATTTTACCTTACCTGTACAGCACTCTAAGCTCAGGTATGGGTCAGTATCGAGTTCAAATACTACATTGCACGTGCATTTCAAGGCATACAATTAAATTTGGCTATAAAGCTGGGTGTTTTGGTCTTGTAAATCAGTCTGGCAGAGGCTTACATGTAGCTGGCTGGCTCGTCTTTACCCTTCTTACGGGTAGGTATGTACGAGTGTATTTCGGCCTTAGACCTCAAATTATTCCGGGCTGGGTGGTATTTTCCCATTGTAGGCATGTTTTGGTAGAATTATCTCAGTATTAATTTGGGATGGTTATTTTCCCGTTGTCGGCATGTTGTAATATATTATCGGGGCGTGTTTAAACTTATTCCCCGGGGAGGCATACCGGGTGGACATTTTTTGAGAGGACATATGTTACACGGTATACTGTTTTTAGTATGGGGCGGTCGAGTGGTTGACGTGCTGTAGCATCATGTTTCATCTAATTGACTTCACTGTTTCATTTTGCACATAATAAATTGTAGAACTTTATAAAACGTGTTGTCAATCATTGACCTGTAGCCAGCTGTAGTTAAGTCGAGACAGAACCACAGGGTTGACGAACGAAAAATCACTATACGAGGACAAAACGTTTACAAATATATGAACACAAATATTTGGCGATCTTGGACAAAATGCCAGCGTGCGATAACTGGGCCGTTGTTACGACAATTTTCTCTCCATCGAAAGCTGTAAAACACATAGTGTCACTTTCAATGTGGTGCTTAGTAAGTGTAGCAGATACGAAAACACCACAGGAATCATACCTTCATAAAATTGGAGTGAATAACGAAACTTCCAAATTAATCAAATATATTTCGCTGAAGGAACAGAGCATATTGTATCCTTTATTATCAGAAACTATACCAGTCAAACACTTCGGAAGGAAAAATATAGTGTATACATATGCAATACACCACAAGGCTATATTTATATGGGATTTTGATGATGATAATTATGGAATTTTAGATATAAATGATTTCAAACTAGATTTCCCTTTGCCTCATGTCACAGTGTGCAATGATACACATAATCAACTCTTGAACCCCTATCCCTATTTTGGAGTAAAAGAAACATATACCTGGCCTAGGGGTTGTCCTCTTCAAAGTATTAAAACAAGATAACTCTACATAAGCCGTGTAACTCAAGTGATTCAATCAACTTGGCATAATTCAATCATTAGCGAATCAGCAACCTGACATAGATGCTATTTATAGAATGACACATGACGCTCCATTTAACTTTAGTGCAACTAGAATATCTCATCAACCATTCGTTTTACCAAGAAATACGTATGCGCCATTCAACGCCCAGGCAACGTTATGACAAGCACCCGCGTTCTTACATGGCGTTACCTATCAGCACAAATGGGCTTGTCAGTGACATTTGGAGAAGCTACATTGCACAATACAGTCGAACCTCGTTATCTCGAAGTCGACGGGATCGTTTGGAAACTTTGAGTTATCCGAGTATTCGTGTTAAGCGAGTTCCTATGTTTGGCATAAAGCTTGGTAAAGTGTTTGGTCCAATATGAGGCTATAACTGCCATTGATTTCTCTGACAGTCAACGTATTGAAACAGTCGATATATGACAAAAAGATAACTATATAAAATAAAAAATAACAATTTATTCATAATCATATTCATTAATTAAATTAATGTTACAATAAACACACATGCTGTCTCTCTATTACCTTCACAGAAAAAAACGTTCGTTTAGCATTTTCGCCACCTGCTGTGATTCAAGAAAGAAATGCCCATCATAATTTAAACGATGTCAATGCTGAGTTAGACTTGTATCAAAAAAGTAAACAATTGGTTGACTTTCTTTCATATGAACGTCTGGAGGATAAGTTAGACTACGTAGAGATGTATACAAGTTTATATTCTAGACAATATCTAGAACATCTTGATATTCAATTCGCTGAGGCATGGACTAAAACATTGACAAGCATCAACGAATTAGAATAAATCACCATAAAAAGATGACTGCTAGAAAGTCTTTGATCTAATTTAAAATGAATCGACTCTCTTCTCATTTTTTTTACTTTTTATAGTACATATAGTTTGAAATACTGTTTACATAAATGTGAACAATTTGAAAGTGGAAGAACATTAAATTTGTTTTAATGTAAATATGTAAAGAAGGCATATTAGTGACGAGTCCGTTTAGTGCTTTAGAAATTGATATGGAATATCATCAGGACCTGAAGCAGAGTCCTGTGATTTTCGAAGCGAATCAACAAGTTCTGGTAGGGTAAATTACTTATTATAGCTTTCTTTGTTTGATGATTTGAAATTGAGCCGTGTCTTTTCTCTTTTTTTCTTTAAAGACTGGAGTTTTCGGGAGTGGTTTAAAGGGGATGAGTTTTTAGCTATGTTTTTTGCAAATACATCAGCAATTTCAGACCTAGACGAAAACAAAATGTTTTTTATTAATGAGGTGGGAGGATGTTTTCTTTTTCCCACTTATTTTCCGAATCATATCCCATACTTTTTTGGTGGACGTGTTTGGCGATAGTTTTGATACATATTATCTCCAGCTGTTTCTTTTGTCAATTTTAATTGATCGCCGAGCCTTTGCCCGCCAAATTATACTCGATGATGAAATTGGCATAGTACCGTAATATGAGTGCCAATCGGCCATTGAAGGGATAAGTGCAAAGGGATTTGGAGCCCCAACAATTCAATAAACTGCCCAAAATAATTCCTCTGTTAAAAAACATATTATTACCTGATCACATGCAAAAATTTCAATGTATTTGGCAAGGCAGGGCATTGCACCACAGGAGTCAGAAATTCTGTCAAAAATAAATAATAACAGCACAGTGGAACACGCTTATTATGATATTATATTTGCCAGAGAAACAAAATATAATAAATGACATATTAAAAAAAAAAGATTAAGCTGTTTTTGATCGTTTTTAGGTTGTCTGAACAGGAAGTGAGATGCCCTATAATCATCAGACATAGATTAATGTGGAAACATGATAAGATATAAATACAAATTGATGCAGTAATAATTGAAAACATTTGTCAATTGTCATTAATATCAGCTTGTTGACAAAATTCGAAAAGATTTCATTTTGTCGTCGTAATAATCAATATATAAATTCTACTTTCACTTTCAAATAACTTCGAGCAAGAACTATAAGAACTATCATTATACTTCATCCTAGCTAACGATATCGTAATGTAACAGTCAATAGGATGAAAGAAGTGATATAAATAATCATGATTTACCTATTTTGCAAATGGCGTTACATTTTGGCAAATAAGCGTCATAACATTTTGCTGCGGTATGTAAATTACGATCACGTGACAAGCACATGCCTCGTAAGTGGGTGCGGTGAAATAAAATTGCATAGAAACAATAACAACTAAAAACACATATTTTTTTCTTTTTTAACAATAATCCAATATTCTTTTTAAACGAAAATGGTGTGTATTGTAAATAAAGCAGTCGTCGTCAGTTGTTTACGACAATAACGTTTACTATGGATCGATTTCCTACATAACAGCATGCTCCGATTTTGACACTTTTCAACGTAGACACGGGGAAATCAACTTATAATGCAATAGATAAGAAGGAAACCATTGCTTAAATGATTAGAAACACGGACAACCTACCAGTTTTACTGTAATTTCTTAACCCCTGTCTTGAACACATCGCATCATGTTTCATTAGTACTGATTAAATATCTTTTGATGTACCTGATTGATAGAGAAAACATCGCACTCCATCTTTTGCCGTTCATTATCTGTAAACAATTCATGGATATTATCAAATATTATGTGTATTACAAAAGACATATATATTACAATATATACGTCTCTATTAGTACTTCTTTTATTTTTTTACTTGTATTACAAAAGCGGCACAACATCATCTAACATCTGACTGATTGGGTTGGTCTAATATAACATCTGATGGAGATAAAGTTTTGTGCTAACTCACAAATATAGTTCGACCCTACAAATAGACCGATTTCATTCAAATCTGGCTGATCAGGTTAGTCAAATGTTGAACTAAGGGAGTTAAGGTTTTGCAGAAATACAGGTAAACCGCGGCGGTGACCTTCGGTCACACCTAGCCAGCTCGGCTGCTTGCTGTTTTACGAGTAGCTAAAGTTGTCAAAGCATGGTTAGCTTTACAATATTTTTGTGTTAATGTATTGGTCCTGTCGATTTATTCTTTGACTATACTGAAATGGACAGAATATTTTCGAGAGAGTTTCTTAATTCTGCCGGAAAGAATAGTAATATTCAAGTGGTCAGTGGTATAATTTCAGGCTTATTTGCAGTGGTAATTTTTGTGATATAAAGCAAAACGTTAGTGACCCAAACATTGTGACGGGAACTGTGTACTGTCGTTCGGTAGGAACACTACAGTAAGTAAGTACATTTGTATGGTGACTATATGTAACTTCTTTCAGATATACGATTCGTGTGTCAAGAGGTTGAATGAGTTTATTATTCATTCCGAATTTCAAAAGAACAAATCAAACTTTACACTGTAGCTATTTAAATTTTCATATTTTTAAAATTTCTTTTATATCTCTAAGCACATTTTATCCTTCTTTAAAATCATAAATTTATGTTTCTGGTTGTAACTATTTTATGATAATTTCAGCAAAATCACAATGTAAATCCTAACGGATGAAGTCATCTTATATCAAAATCCTTTTGCTAATTTACCGGGATATGTAAACCAGAGCAGATCTAGACCGGCGTGTTAGTTACGATGACCATGATCGCTATGGCTTGTTCTCAGTTCCCCCACTTTTTTAAAATAACATGGGGAGAAGAATGTTGTTAGAAGGATTATAGTCTGAGTAGTATTGGCAGTATTTACCTGTGTTTTTAACTGTGTTTTACCTGTGGTTAACCCTACTATCTAGTGTGGTGTTCTTTACATCTAAGCTGAAAGCTGATCATATTTAATTTAATAATACATCATATAAGATTTTCAGATTTTTAATAACAAATGTTAAAATTTAAAATATTTCAATATTATTTATATATGAATTAATATATATATTGAATATATCCATTATGTAGTCCTTGTGCTGCAGATAATTGTGATATATGATAATATGAAATATGTTATTTTATTTTGTAATAATTTTGTACTTTAAACATATTAAAATAATAATATGAATAGTTATAAATTGAAACATTTTTCTTTATTATTATAACATTTAATAAGATGCCTAAATACTTAGTAAGCATGGTTATGTGTGACTAAAAGTATGGTGTTTAACAGCTGATAATTAAATTTTAAAATAAACTAATCTAATTGTCTAGATGTTAGAGGTACATCATAACTATCACCATTTTATAACTTTAATTATCCAAGCTATCATTTCCGTCCTGGTGAACTAGAAGTGATCAAGGCCTGTGCTAATTAGTGAGATAACGACGAGTTTTACCATTATCTAAGCACACCTTGAGAACCGGACGATGGACTTTATGGAGTACA